ATATATATATATATATTTGTTTTTTTATTATGATTTTTATTTATTGTTATAACATTTTTTTTAAATAAGGAAAGCAGATTTTTTGAAATTAAAATAATATGACATAATTGTCTCGAAATACACATACCTAAAATATATGAATGCGACAATTAAAAATAAATGTTTAACTTTAATGTTATTGTAATATTATTGTTGTGTAATATCGATTATGCTTCAAGATTGTTAGTCAAATGCGAAAATATTTTCATTCGATTATGATTCTATAACAGCTATAATCAATCAACATTGTTGTTCTGTCTAGTCCTGTGTAGCTAATTAAAATAAAGCTTTGTTAAAATGCCTGGTAACTATGAAAGAGACAATAAAGGAAAAAAAATACGAAAACGCGAAACTTCACTTCTTCGTCACTCTTCATTGAATCCTGTCTATACGTTGATTTTATTTTTCTATTTTTATTTGTATACGTTTTCTAATCTTTGAAAATTTCTTAGGACTAGTAGCAGATAAGTTTTGATCTTTGTATTTTTTTATCTTCTCTACTATTGGCCCACACAAACAATTAGTTCACACGCTTCTTCTCATGCATATACAACACAGTTTCTTAAATGCACATTTCACCTTAAAATTGCGAAACCTCGAAAAAAAAGGCACAAATTCTGAACCACTTTTCATTTAAAATTATTTATACAAATGCTATGCATATGTCTCGTGCATTAAAAAAAATTTCTAGTTGAAAATGGACGAATCAGAAATTTCTGGTTAAATTTATTAGAATTCTAGTTGAGACCGGAATTCTGATTGATACAATATTTCTGGTAAAATCTACTAGAATTCTTATTTTTCCAAAATAATTATATTAATCTCAACTAGAATTCTAATAAACATAACCAGAAAATTCTGATTTGTCCATTTTCCACCGGAATTATTATTTAATCCAATTAGATCATTTTTCTTACTGTGTAATATTTTGCACTGCGACAAATACATATTTAAAAATTTCTTAATTTCACGCAATTACGACCGCTTTTTTCCAAATATAGAGCTAATTTGGAGATTACACTATCGCTCGAGATACCTCTTGCCTTCCGTTAATGGTAATTTGTGAGGACCAATGATATTTTTTGCACGATGACGATTAACGATAATTTTAGGTTGCCCGACCACGCCAATCAAGGGTAATCAACGTCAGGATGACGGTGGAAGGATCGCAGCCACTGTGGAGGAGGCCCTAGCGAGTCTCACGACAGAGATGGTAAGTCCCAATTCATTTCGTTGACCGATCGGACACAAGATACAGCTGAGGCAATGGAGAATCATGTTGACATCGTATAAATTTATAAATTTATTTTATATTTAATATACTTCCATGAAATGACAACACAGGAGAAAAATTACAAAATTGAGTTTTTGAAGAGAAAAATTCATTTTGAGTATATCCTTTTCATATATTTTTTTTATTTCAATAATTCTATATTTCTATTAATATGGCTCCATATTACACGAGTAAAAATTTTTATTTACAAGGCAATTTTACTTAAATTATAATTTTATTACTATTGATCGACACATTTTTGTAGTCTCTTATCACATTATAATAATACTATCATGATTGTCTATTGCCACCGCTATATTTATGAACAGACGATTTATACGAGATGGTAAGTTTGCTATCGTCAGTGGCCGATTGATCGAATTATTTAAACGTGTTCTCCCCGAGTGACCGAGGCTTACCGTAATTATTAAAGATAGACTACGACGTGTCATAAAAACTTATCGAATGATAATTATATCGTCTTCAAGTCCTTTTAACGTCCCTTTAAGTATTGCAGGATTTTCCGACTAATCGCGATCCGCATGGAGCGTCCCAAGCTGAATTTTATTCCTAAAAATGAGATAAAAGCACGCGCTCGAAAACGATGCATTGTCGATTATTCTCGAGATGTATCACATCGAGATCACTCATACATGACAAACGTGTCGATGGTGCGTATTCTTTGTGGCGTATTTCATTACGCTACACCAGGCATTTTTATTAAAAAGTAAACAATCACTTTATCAGGACTGACGAAACGCAAAAATATGTGCGTAAAGTACATGTCAGCATGATTTACACTTCGCGATATTCTTTATCGCTTCTCGAAGAATCGTGTCGAACATTTCGCAGCTGAAACATTCAACAATTCTATATATACGTAACTGTTCTGAACAAAAAAAAAGAGTATTGCTTAGAGGTCGCAGAGGAAGCGAAGTATCTCGCATAATCGTCTACAACTCAATAACGAGAATAGTTTAAAAGAGTATCCATCGATTCTGAGAGAAAGAGAGAAAGAAAGGAAAGATAGCCACGAGCTACTCTCCTCACTTTTGAGAACAGGTCTGTGTCTCAGCTCTCATTAAATTCATTCTGACAGAAACGAACGGCCGCTTTGGAACGCTCCATGCGAGAGAGTCAGACTGTCTGAACGCTTTGTCTATTTTCCTGAATCAGGAGATACTGCAACGCGAGTGAATGCACGACTCTCGTCCTCCTTCGTCGTCTCGTGCGCAACGTGCTCTGTGGGTGATCTGCACCGCCGTAACGACAAATCTTCGAGAAAATGAGAGAGAGAGAAAGAGAGAGTGGGTGACTGTGCGAATGATAACGAAATACAATTTAACCCTTGATTGGTTGGAGTAGGTTGCTAACTATGTCCATGTAATTCAAGCTTTTAACAGTCGCGTTTAATTTTACTGTTGGTATCAGTGTTGGTAGTTGGATTTCTTTTCACGGAACATGTAACACTATGCTTTTTTAAAAGTCTGATCTGTCATTCTTCTCATGTTTCACTCTTTTTTGTCGTCATTGTTTCTACCGGATCCTCTTAATTCTTCTCGTTTTAACGCTTGTCGATTATTCATACTTACACTCTCTACTTAAGTCACTCTCTGTTAGGCAGAGAATGACTCAAAATAATTAATTTGGAATTAATATAAGAATATTTGTTTAATCCTAAAAGCCTGCATTTGATTGCAAGATTACTTAAGGGTTAAAAATAAAGAAAAATGATATGAATAGCTTCATCGAGGATCGAGGCGAATATGTGAACTGTTCTGAATCGAGATTATCGACCATTCCATTTTGATGGCGAGTTTATGTTTTATTCATTATATATACATAGAACGTTTCACTTGTACGAAACGTTTGTACTTAACGCGATTTTCATTAACATCTGTTCGGTAGAGACATTCGTCTCGATCCGCGACTTCTAGCATTAATTTGTTATCGACATGTATATCTGTACACATAAACATGTGAGCGTATCTCATTCGAATGTGATTCCCACTATGATAAGGGAACACCTTCGACATCCTTATATGGGCATCCTTGAATCTTCCTGAGTATAGGAGAGTCAATATCATTATGGTTACGTATTTAACAAGAACGTGATACTCGTCGGCCTACAGTACTCGATAAAGCTTTTGACATTGTTTCCAATCGATTCAGGGAGTGATTAAAATGCCATTTTTCAACGAAAATTTTTTTGATAGAGAAGTTTAATTTTTTTATTAAAATGGCCTGTTCGGAAAAATCGTCTCAAATTTCGGTTGATGAAACGCTTCTTAAGGATCTCGTGCACGAAAATCCACGAGTGATTATTAGAAAACTCATCGACACTCGGCACAAGTTCGTCTCCATCGTTTCAATAAAGTTACTCTTTGAGTAAAAATTGCGTCCTAAACTAACAGAAGATTTGAAATGAACTTTCCGAACAATCAAATATTTTTAAAGAGGACCGATAATGACGTTCTTAATTCTTTTGACGTCATATTGTCCTACTTAAATTAATACATATCACTTTTATTCTGTTCTTTTACAGTGAAATTTCTCAGTGAAATTTATAATTCATTTATCAGTGAAATTTTTAATTGGTCTATAAAATAGAATAGGTCAATTATAAACCATATAATTATCAAAAACATTTCATGCAAATTTGAGATATAAATACGTTTGTAATTTTAATTTTTTTGTATATTTTAATCTTTTGATTTAATTTCTATAAAAATTAACGTCAAAAGAATTAAATATTTTTATAATCCGTCAAAGCTGAAAGGCTTATTTTGAAACACAGGGAAATAACAAGGCAAAAGTACTACTAAAATATTCAGCTAAATAAAATATATAAACGTATTGAAAAAGAAGATGATCTTTTAAGATGATCGTAAAAACTGTGTTGTAGCGAATTTATGACGTACATTTTTGTAAGAAATGAAAATTTGTCAAAATGGCATTTTGTTTACTTCCGGACGTTTTCACGCACGTCTCCATTGTCCACGCATAATTCAAGCGTCTTTTTCCTAATCGAGTCGCCGTCGATAAATTAATATCATATTTTACTAACATGTAAAAGGCCGTGTGACTACGGGACAAGTGTCGTCGACATATAATTGACGCATGGCGAACGGGGAGCTTTGTAAATAAAGTATGCTTGCGCATAGTTCGGCTAGCAGAAGGCCCGCGCGATTTCTTTTTATTGCGAGATATATAGTTAGTGTTATGTATCTATATGTGTCTCACGTTCTGTCTGTCTCTGTATGTACCTATATACATACACATACGTATGCACACGCACAAAAAATTGTGTGTAACGTGTATACATATTATAAATACAACGTGCTTGTGTATACTCGCAAAGGTAACACGTATCGAGTTGTTTCCTCCCTTCTGATGAACCTCGGATCGCGATAAAAGACAAGAGACACATATTTTTTATATAAAATCTTCGCCACAGATATGACGAACTCTTGTAATGTATTCAGCGTATCTTAATGGTCGTAGCGATCGCAACATATCAGTGGATGATTTGAAGAAAAAAGAATTTAATATTTCATCGTTTCTTATTTTTTTTTCTTTAAAGCTAATATCTAATATTAAGTTTATTCCTTATACATAAAAGTTTTTTGAAATTGTTTATATAGATAATCTCTCTCTCTCTCTCTCTTTCTCTCTCTTTCTCTCTCTCTTTCTCTCTTTGTTCTTAAAAAATTTTTTTCCGGTGTACAGATAAAACTATACGTTTGTCTGACAAACATCGAGTTATATGGATACTGAAGAAGCTATATTAAATGTGATAACAAAAATATAAAAGTACGTTACAAGCGATATATTCTGATAGGATAAAAGATATTTTATTTAACAGAAAAAATATCCAATAGAGAAACGTAACAAATTTACAATAAATGAGATTAACTTACAATGCTAGATTCCCTTGAAACTTTTCCGTAACATATCCGACGTTCATCAGAATCAGAGTATACGAAAAGTTGTTGCCTCTTGCCAGTACTGTATTATATAATACGACGTGATGCGTGGTGTGAAGTTGATTTTGGCGAAGAAAAGAAGAAGGACTTATAGTGCCGTGTACGTACAATACTCCCGTAGAAACAGAGCATTCAGATATGTAATCGCGTTGCTATAATAGTACGTGAGATTTATCGCGAACGTTTTGAAACGCCAGAATGTTGTTCAATTATACGTATATATTACTTATTATAAAACGCTTCTGAACATGTCGGTGTAACATTTATGATTGGCGGTAAAATCTCACCGCATCTCGGTAACGGATCTTTAAAGTATCTCGAGACATCTTTAACATGCTGTTTATTTTAAACATTGATACATTCCGTCGCGTATTTCCACGATGTACTATCAACTGAAAAAGCATTTAAAATTTTATTCCAAGAGACCTCGACGCATTCCGAATGCATTCCGAGATTTCATTTGTCTTTTATCAGAACGCGTACAACGACGAATGAGAGTATTAGTGTTGCAAATGATATTTTTATGGTCTAGATTGACTGCACTTTATCGAGCGAAATCGACAGAAATCCACGACAGTTATTCAAGTTTTACCGTGGATGCAGATTTTACTGCCGAGATAGCTTCATGACACAGTAGCTTTGTTAACTCAATACCTCCTCGCGGGTATTGCTATTATCGTAATTGTTAGGATCCCGATCCTGCGTGAACATACCACTAACAGCGTTAGCAATTTCAAAAGTGTGATATTTTTTTAACATATCCTTGGGAATTAAATATTGGAATCCGGATTGACGTTGGTGCAAAGTAAATTTTTATTAGATCGCGCGGAAAATTTAGGGAGGATGAGAATCAATCGTAAAAGTATGTGTGCGCGAGAAAGATTGCTGTGTTGCTTATACAAAATACTGAGATTGTCCTGACATAATATGTATGTCCGTTTTTTTTTCTTGTGAAAAGTAAGAGAGAAAATTTTTTGTCGCTTAAAAATATTTCTTTTTAATGCGATTTTCAGCGATTATATCGTGCTCAAGTATATACGTGTGTGCACGTTCCTTCTCGATTAATATAAATCTTTTCCGTTTTCAAAGCGTCATGTGTTGGGCGTAGATGTTCCTCTGTGTGTTTTGTGTGTGCTTATACAAAGCTGATGTTAATGCCATTCGTGAAATAACATTTGTAATTTTCGACTCTTATTTAAAACAGATCAATGTGCTTTGCCAAGTTACAGGTTTAGCAGTCTCTCTCTTTTTATTACATAATTATTCAAAACTATCAAGTCTACCATACCATTTAGGCATTATATTATCTTTTTATGTCCTTTTCGATTCAATTATGTTACATTCGTAAATTATAAGTCATTCCTCATAATTTACGACACCAGTAAAAATGTTTGAGAGTTAAATGTTCAATTTTTATTTTCATAGCAGAAGTAGCAATATATTTAACCATTATTGGCGACTTTATGCCTTTATTGAGTAAATATAATCACAAAAATAGTAAAGTGTGTCTCAAACTGTAAAATTTTTGTATATATAAATCTTATAATTCTAAAAATAGTGTTAACAGAAATCATTCTTAATGATGATCGGATATATCTACATGTTCTCAATTAGAATTTAATTACATTTTATTTTAACAAAACTTTTGAAACTTATTTGAGAATTCAAGAAAAATTATACACAAATTATGGACAAACGAAAGTGATACAGCGTATCTTTCTGTGTTCGTATCATTCAGAGACGAAACAGCCAAGGCGGGCAGCATCAATTGGAGCAAAGCACATCCTTTTCGTTGTATCGTCAAATCAGGACGAGCTTGAAGCGCGGTAGCTTGAACCACGTTGTGATCATGAGGAATATGCAAAGGGCATTAAACATTCGTCGAGCATCATGACGCACGCAGAGTTCATCAGAATTAATTTAAATTGTTTCTTTGCAACTTTCTCTATCTGAGATTTTGCGAAACTAATAACTTCATTGTATTAAATATGATATGTACATAAAATGCATCGATAGGTTTTTTGAATCTACAGATCTGAAGTATGTCACATCACATGACGTTGATAAATGAATTATTGATAATTTTGTCATAAAGTTGATTAGATACAAATTATGCTAAATGCAGAACGCATCGATTGAACATTAATTAGATATTTTAGTGATTTAATATTAATTTAATATAATCTAATCTTTAATATAATCTATCTTTAATGTAACGTGATATGAAAACGAAATATTATATGACGAATTTACAATTTTGTTTTAAACATTCTTTTTTATAAATAAACATAACAGTAATACAATTAAAAATGCATTTCTAATTTCAACAAAGTACAGTAATTTAGAAAGTAAATTAAAAATTAGTTTAATTACTCTGTAAAACTTTAGAGTAAATCTCACTCTTAAAGATTGAGAAAACTAAGTCTCACTCTTTTTCAAGACTGGCTTAATTTTTATTAAGATTTATTAATTTTTATTTAGAGTGAGATTCCACTCCAAAGAATTTAGAGAAAATATTTATAAATATATTTGTACAAAATTTTATGTTTATTTAATATTACCATACTTTATAAATTTAATAATATTAATATTATTATTTACAAAATAATGAATGACATATTCAGCTTTAGAAAAAGTTATGGCTAACAATAAACGCATGTAATTCGCATAATCCTGTATAATACATAATAATGCGCATTGCATTTATATCTATTCTATCGGTGAAGGAACGATAATCTCGCTGAGAATTAAAATTAAATAGAAATTTATGCAGATATGCATAGCGTTTTTAACTGTACAAATGTGCCAAGATTTTGACAAAAGGCAAATAATTTTATGTAGACACGTGTCTGTTCGTGATTTATTAATCCACGCGTCTCTTCCATTTTTTGCATTTCTTCACTATTATATCGTTTCAATGTAAGATTCTTTTTAATACTGTCTGAATTTTGTCCGCTAATGTAAATCAGCAATCCATATATTACATTTAATTAACATATTAAAATTTAACCATGCAAGTACTTTCCTAAAATTACTAATATAACTCTAAAAGCATGCTTGTGTTTACTTTGTGGTTTACTTATGGTATTTAATGATTTTATTGATGACATTTTTTAAAATTAATTTAATTTAATATATGTTTCTACATACTGTTCGTATACATAAATATAGATTCAATCATTTACGAAGTAGTCAATTGGTTTTCAAAATTTGCGCCTTGTAAAACGAAAATAATGTATTATTTTGTAATATTGTATAATAATTTATTATGTGTATATTTCCAGTGTCTGTGAAATGTCAAGGAAATTATATTTTCTACCATTTTTTTTTAATATTTGGATATCAATTCGCATTGTGACTAAAATGATTTGTTAGGTACTCAGATAAAGTTGTGTACACAGCATGTATTATATTTGGAGAATTTGGGATGGAAGTTGGGTGAGAAATTACGTGCGTACGGCAATCGATAGCGATGGACTAGCTGTATCGATTTTAAAACTTAAACACTTCATGCATTAGATTTAAACGAGATATTCGATGCTTTTTCCTCTTAATTGTTAAATAATCTTTGACGTCAATGTTATTAGAAGGAATATATATTGTCGATCGAATTCATGACGCCTAGTCCATTCCTATCTGCCTGAAACTACATAATAATTAGTTAATTTCAGTAACAGAGCGATCATTCAATTATGTTGTCACGAATGAATTGTCACTTAATCAAGATGTTCGGCAATATATAATATACGTATTATTGATATTATTTAAATAAAATAATTATTATTATTCTTATGATTGCTGCTGTTATCGTCGTCGAAAAATTTACAATATTGACCCTTCGTATATCATTGTATTCTTTACAGATATATTTCCTTTGCTAAGAAATCGCATGACATTGAATCAGTGAAAAAATATTACATTATCACAAGGTATGACTCTCTCTCTCTCTGCTAAAAACGCAGAAGCCTAAACTGTTGAAACGTTTTATCGTTATAAAATATTAAATCGATCATCTTAAAAGAATTAATGTTTGTAATATTTTTATGATCCTCCCTCGGTCCACACTTTATTTTTGTTTTATTTTATCGAGAGTTTCTTATCCTGGTTTCTTTATTTGCTCCCTTTCAGACTCACCTGTAGACAAGCGAACACGGAGATAATTGTAAAAAAAAAAAGCGAAAAAAGAGCGAGACAGAACTGATTACGGAACATGACTGGCCTGACGGGCAGTTGGTGCATTTAGAAATCTCTGGAAATAATGTGAAAGAGGCATTAGGATTATTAATGTAAGTCCAAATGTAGCAATAAGCAAATGTACTCGGATTTGTACGAGGAGTTGCCGATGCATCCCTTTACACCGAGAGAAAAATTAGTGCAATTATAGATTCTATTAGAATTTTTATAAGACAATTAGAAAATACAAGTACAAAATTAATGAAAAAGGAAATATATTTTTAAATTTAGGCAACCATAAATTATTATAGGTTATCAATTTTAGAAGAGAGATTTTCCTCTCGGTGTTTTCTGTTATTTTTGTTGTTCATAAAACCCCGAGAAGATCTTTATTTATTTGAAATTGATTTTATATAATCATTTAGTTGAGTTATCGTGGATTATAAATGTTTAATAATTTTGATTGAAATTTTGGATTTTTCAAAAATAATCCAAAAAATATTTTGGAAATGTGTCATATATAATTTCATAATAATATATAAAAATTAAGGCAATTTATTTATAAATAATTCTCTTGGATTTTTCTGAAACTGATCGACTGGAAAAAATTGAAAACACGTTTTTCGAGTCGATTGCCTCGATCTGCTTTCGGCAACGAGTATGCTACTTTTAAGTTATTTATTTGTGCTACCGTTCGCTGCCTTACACATCTATTTAAGGAATTCTTACGTGGTTATTGAGTACACGCAACGAACATCATTTCCGGAAGTCTATTTATGAAGACTGCTTTCACATTTCTATCGTCCTTAGAATAGATCCTTCTATCTAAAAATCTTTCTTTTAAATCTTTTACACTTTCGTGTATATATAATTGCGTGCATGAACTGTCGTGAACAGCGGTGTTTTACTTATGCAGATCATTTCATCAAGGTGCGCATTTTATGCTTACAATGGTTTGTCATTCGATAGTATGCGCATTTAGATACATTGAGACGTGTCTAACATGTAGATGCGTTTTCCGCCGGAAGCTATATTCGCGAAACGTGGATGAACAGAGATCGTGAGTGTTGAGATAAGCATAAATTGCACTAGAAGATATTAGCGAACTAGCAATTTACCTCAATAGAGCTTGGCATTGATATTCTAATGCGAAACTTGCCTCAATTTCCACGAGTTAATTGTCATAACAGGCACAAGTTTGCATTTCTCTGCCAATAAAACTATCGAATTCGCCGCGTTTATCATTCCATATGTATAAATATGCTTTATGGAGAGACATATTCTTGCATAAATCTGAGTGATCTTATTTAAATTATAGATAATAGATAGAAAAATATATAAACGTAATTAATAAACGTAATTTAATAAAGTGTAGCTAATCTAGAATTATAATAACATGTTTTTCTTTTATATACATATGTATATATTTATATTTACATATGTGTATGTATGTATGTACGACAAAAGGATTAATTCGGAAAGCATTCCTTTTCGCACTTACGATCTCGCACGTTCCGATAATCGTTCAGGTTTCGCTTTTTGCATTATCGTAAACGAATTATACGGTTCTTTCGTGTTTCTTGTGAATGCAGTATTAAAATTAGATTCTTTTCGAGGAACAAGAAGCGACCGTGCGAATATAACATAATTCACGACAGCGGTAGCAATAAAACTCCAAAAATAATTTGGAGATATATAGGTCGAATAAATTCGAATTATGTAAAAAAGAAATTAATATCGCTAAGGAACAAGCATAATAATGCAATAATCGAGAAGAATAAATGAGTTATTGACTTCTCAATAATATCATGCTGATTTTTTTATTACTTTTCTTCGCTTTTAATTTACTATTATATTAATTCTATTTTAAATAGTCTAATACAATGAATTTGAGATTAAGAAACCATAAAATTGCAAACAAACTAATCCCACATGATGAAGAATATATCATTAAATTATAAATTATATTATTAAATTATAAATAATATAATATATTTATTAGAATTATACATAAATTATATCATAAAACTTTTTTCATAAATCCAGTAAAATTGGAAAACTGTTTAAACAACTCAATACTGTTGTTTTTATAACTTAATTGTTCAATTAGCATGACATGCGAGTACACTGAGAGAAAGAATTTTGTTAATTTAACAAGCCACCAGTATCTTTAACCGATGATCGGTAAATATGTGACAACAAATTTTGTTGTTGTGATTACTGTTAGTTTGCTAACCAATAACTAACCAATATTAGTAACAGAAACAAACTATATAGAATCTAATCTATCTTTTGGATAAACTTTAGGCTCGTTTATATAGAATTCGTAGATGATCGTGGAGTCTTAAATCGTAGAAAACCGATCAAGCACAATCTAATATTAGGTCATTTAAAAAGTATCCGCGGTTTTTTGTTCAATTTTTAAATGAAAAAACCGCGGATACTTTTTAAATGACCCAATATAAGGAGAAACTTATACTTGACTAGAATTGATCAATTTCTTACGATTTGAGACTTTGCAACCGTCTACGACTTTTATATATATATATATATATAAGCCTCTTATTTGCTAGCTTGATTATTTGTTACACAGACGAATTAATTTGCGATCGTAACACAAAATTAAATTTTGGGGCATTTAAAAAGTATCCGCGGTTTTTTGTTCAATTTTTAAATGAAAAAACCGCGGATACTTTTTAAATGACCCAATATAAGGAGAAACTTATACTTGACTAGAATTGATCAATTTCTTACGATTTGAGACTTTGCAACCGTCTACGACTTTTATATATATATATATATATAAGCCTCTTATTTGCTAGCTTGATTATTTGTTACACAGACGAATTAATTTGCGATCGTAACAAATCGATCGTGTTTTTAACAAATATTACATTTGCTTTTCCTTGAGTTGTTCCTATAACAAAATCATTTTTCCTAGTGTATATAATACATAGAAGTCAATAACTGTACGCATTATATAGCAAATTTAATAATATAATAAAATATTAATAAAAAATTATATAATAGGGATATCAAAAGAATCTCATTATAATTTTATGTATCCTCAACGTACGATTCAGTAATGGTTGTAATCTGCGATATGGGTGATATTATTGTGAGAACTCGGCGCTCTTGAAATGTCAAGTGTCGCTCTCGATGTTCGTTCTATACATATTCACAGAAAGATATTATTTGCAGCTGTGAAAAAAATATATTTATATATGTATACATATAAATGGTGCACTTATCCAGACATAGATATATTAGACAAGATATTCGGCAACGAGCGTATTTTGTGAATAAAACAGTATTTCTTATTGAAAAAAAATGTAATAATCTTACTCGACAAAAGCGTCGACATAATCTTTTTAATTTAAGCAAGTAAAACGAAAGATCTGCGACCATCTCAATAAAGTGATATTCACTTCATCACAAATATGCTTATTATCGAACTTCCTCTATATGCCATGCGATGGTATTTTGCATTTTCTTTCTTTTTTTTTTTCTTTTGCGACATCGCGACGTCTCGATACCTCATTAGGCGGATACATTAAGTCCAGCCAACTGATGTACGATAATAGAGAATAAATTATTGTTGCGTCCTATTTATTTATAACGAAATTTATTTTATATATTCTCTGTTCGATTACCCGGAAAAAAATCCCGAATCTGTCCCATTATTATAAAACTCAAATGTAATACAGCATTAATTATTTGTAACGTTACGCTATTTATTTGTATTATATCCATCAACAGGTGTATCTTCAGTCACACATACATATAATTCTTGAAAGATTGCAATAAAAATGTCGCTGTCCGGAAATGAAGGTGAGTATGTGAAGTGACACGCGTGAAAACAAAACACATGAGCACAAAAATGTATGTCGTGCATTTTATCACATTCTAACGCACTGGCACAATTTGATTTTTGAACTGACTCTGTCTATTCAGGAAGATAATAGCGCAATTAATACGTCATTAAATTCCGTGTAAAGCCGACGAGATTTCGAGTCATTGCAGATCATTATCGCTATTATGTCAATTAGAATTATCCTATATAATAACGTTGAAGAAAAAGCTGTCGGCGAAATTGACAAAACACAACGGAGCCGGGGCTAACGAGACGATGACTCAACTTATCATATAAAGACTTGCGTCGATGAGGAATTAGGACGGAGTCTCTATCTCTGCGCGGCTCGCTGCAACGTATTCTGCATATGGTAAGTTTTATTTTGCAATATATATACGTATACGTTAATCTGTAAACGAATCTCTACGATGAGACTGCTGATTTGCTATTGAGAGATCAATCGTTCGAAGTATATTAACAATATGTTGAATAGCTTATCTTCGATCAAGATATTTCGAATATTACGCGTTATTATGCAGCGCTCAATCTCGCATTAAACTTATTTCCTTAAATTCTTAAAAACCCACTTCTCGAGTTTCACATATATTAAGCGATACATCTGATGGGAAATGAACAGTTATATGCAGGAATAATTCTTTCATTAGAATCAGTAATTATCAGAATCCTAATAGGTAAGTAGTTTTTCTATGCCAAGCGATGATCGCGTTTTTCTAATTTGTAACGGACGGTAATCGCGTACTTTCTCAAGCTATTCGTGCTAGTTTCACCCGCAAATTGTATCGCGATATACAATGAACGATAAGCTTCAAAAACGATCTCAAATATGAAAAATGATATGAAAATAAATTGATATTTGTTTTGACAAAGGAATAAGGAATACATGGAAATAACTTTGCTGAAGTATCTAAAAATTGAGGTGCAGATCTGAAAATAATTTTTTGGAATATCAAAATTTGTGTGGGACGTACAAATTGGATGCAAAAATGTCTATTTTTTTAGGGTATCACGCTTAGCATTCTAGACAATTATTTTGCAAATTCAACAAAATTATTTGCAGATCTATATTTAATTTTTACTTCATCAAGATAATTCTTTCCATATCGAGAGAACAGCATGTCCAAAATCGGGACGTCATTTAGGCAT